TCACTACTGCCGCGACGGGGCGGAAGCCTCGTTGCATTTCCCCTGGAAGTTTATTCAAGAAATCAAAAAGTGAACTTTACAATGTCGGCACCCAAAAAAGATGGCCGACGCGTGAAGTCCCCATTTGGGGCCTAACCTTACACAGGGGAAAGGCCCTGAGGGCGAATGCGACCTTGGGGGTCGATGGTCCGAGTAACGCACTATCTGCCGCGACGGGCGAAGCCCTGGTGGGCATTCACCTGGAAAGTTTATTCAACAAGCAAACGTGCAACTTTACAAGTCGGCACCCAAACAAAGATGGCGACGCGGTAAGTCGCACTTTGGGGCTAACTTACACGCCGGGAAAAGGCCCAGAGGGGAGATGCGAGCTTGGGGCGATACTCGGAGTAAGCGCACTACTGCCCGCGGACGGGGCGAAGCCTGGTGCCATTCACCCTGGAAGTTATTCAACAAGCAAACGTGCAACTTTACGAGGTCGGCACCCAAACAAAGATGGCCGACACGTTAAAGTTCCTCTTTGGGGCTAACCTACACGCCGGCAAAAGCCCAGAAGTGGGAAATGCCGAGCTTGGGGCGACGCCGCGAGTAAGGCACACAACGCGCGGCGACGGGGCGACGCCTGGCGAAATTAACGTGATGTTTATTTAAGAAGCAAACGAGCAACTTTAACAGTGTCGGCACGTCACAAAGATGGCCGACGCGTGAAAGGTTTCCTCAACTTTTTGGGGCTAACCTACACACCGGGAAAAGGCCCAGAGGGGAGAATGCGATCCGCTCGCATTCCCTAATCCTAACACGACAGAACGAAACATGAATCACCGACAAATCATTGCGTTTCATTCTCAATACACATCACAACACGATATTCTCGGTATGCGAGTCGTTAGTTCAAGAGCTGTGTGTGAATTCCTACTCGTACAAACTCATCTGATGGGGATAATTGTTCGTTTACATTGTTTAAAGAGAAGATCACCTATCCTAGGCTATGCCTTGGTAGAGTCAACTTTTATTACCGAAACAGTATTTACAACGTAACACTTCTCCTTTCACGACCTCCGCCTCTCTCGAAAACAAACACGTCACGCTGAGTAGCGGTTCTGGGCCGAGAAGCAATCGTTTCGGAGCAGTACTGCTGAACACCGGTCGGAGGGACGTGAACTGCGGGTACTAAATAGATCGCCGCGAGACGAGAGAACGAAACGTGGGCATCCGCGTATACCGCCGCCATCTTGCAATTTACTCTTCCTCACAGAGTTTACCGAACCACTTTTCGCCTTCTCGCAAACTTGATGAAAACATGCGTTGCATTTCATCGGACAACTGAAGAAAAAGCGTAACCTAAACCTAACACATAAACAACCAAACCTCGAATAGGCGACGCATCGCTTTCACGTCAATGCAACAAAACGCGTCGCAGGAAACAAACGATTGCTCCACGTAGCCGAGCCGTCGCACGCCTTCGATAGTCAGCCCTAACGAACTCGATGAAACTCGAAGAAATTGGTCGTAACAATAACAGCGTGTGAGGGAAAGAGAGAAGAAACGCCATTTATTAAAAAACAAGTACGTTCAACACTGTACCTGAATCGAAAGCTCAATTCATTCACTACAGCAAGCCATTGCACTCTCCAATCCTTGAACTCGAAGAGAACACTAAGAAAATGTTGTAAATAGCCACCGGCGTGAATGTTTCCCCTTTTGGGTAACCTAGCACGCCGGGAAACGCCCAGAGGGGGAATGGCGAGCTCGTTTGGCCGATACCAGAGTAACCGCACTACAGCCTGCGACGGGGCACGGCCTGTGGCAATTCCCTGGAAGTTATTCAAGATGCAACGTGCGAACTTTGCAGTGTCGGAACCTAAACAAGATGGCCGACCGCGTTAAAGTTCGCACTTTGGGGCTACCTACAACACCGGGGAAAGGCCCGGAGGTGTACATGCGAGCTTGGGCCGATGGCCGAGTAACATCACTACCGGTGCCCGCGTCGGGCGAAGCCCTGGTGGCATTCCCTGGAAGTTTTCAAGAAGGCAAACGTGCACTTACAGTGCCGGCACCCGAACAAAGATGGCCGTCGCGTGAAAGTTCCACTTTGGGGTCTAACAACTACACGCCGGCAAAAAACTCTGAGGGGCAAATGACGAGTTCTGGGGTCGGAGCCCAGCAAGTCGACTGGCCGCCCGTGCGGGGGGGCGACGCCCTGCCGACATTCACCGGGAAGTTATCAGAAGCAAACGTGCACCTTTTAAGTGTCGCCACCGTAAACATAATCGGGCCGACGCGTCAAGTTCCCGTTCCACTTTGGGGCTAACTATACACACCGGGGAAAGGCCTGGTTCGGGCGAAATCCGACCTTGGGTCGTCGACGATCGGGAACCGCACTACCTGCCAGCGCATGGGAACCGGGCGAATACGCCCTCGGCAAAATTCACCAGGAAAGTTTTATTCAGAGACTAAGTGCAACTTTAACTATGCAGTGGCAAACCAAAACAAGATAGCGACACGGTAAAGTTCCACTTTGGGGCTAAACCTACGCACGCCGGGAAAAGGCCCAGAGGGGGGAAAATGCGAGCTTGGGGCCGCGCCCGAGTAAAGGCGCACGTACACGACAGCTTGCTACGGCGCGACGCCCTAGGTTGGGGCGAGGGGGGGGGGGAGCGCGAGAGGGGGGGGGCCGCCAAAAAATATTTTTAGAAAGTACCCGAACGCTCCCTCTCCCCCCGAACTGGAGAGTTATTCAACAAGCGTCAACCCAACTTAATTCAACGCACCCATCGACACATGACTAGAGTCCGGCGCAGCGCAACATTTCCGCAATACGGGCCCCTGCAGACGCGCGGTTCCGCGCTTGCGTCCGCGAGTATGCACGTGCCCTTCGAGGCCTCGTGCGGAATAGAACCAGAATGGGCTGGAGACTAGTGAAAATCCGGTTTAGCCAACTGGACTCTAAGGCTAATGGAGAGCTGTCTCTCACGCTGTTAACGCGCTGCTGTCCGCGTTAATAACAGCAGATACGGCATCCAACTGGATGGCTATACTTCGAGTGACATAACGAGCACTTTATTACCACTGCGCTTGTCTTCATTGGAGGCATGTGATTTATAGTCGCTTACGCATTTATGGTGGGCTCCTCTGGCCTCTTAATGTAACAGTTTTGGTTGTCTATCACCTACTGCTATACAACGGGATGGAATGGTGCCTTTCGGGGACGGACGCTGACTGTGAAATTCTCGGTTCGTGGCGCGCACGCAGCTGCGCGTGGCGAATGTGCAAATATGCACTCTGCCTAGAAATATGCTGATTCAGCGTGACGTGAGGGATGAGTCTGTATGACTCATTGCAGTAGAGAAAATTTAATGAAAACAATTTGGAGCGTTTTTTGAGAAATTGTTTTTCCTAAATTTCAGTCACAATTTACCCAAAAACTGCTGGTTTCTGCAAAAACGTGCACTAGACCTTTTTTGAAAAGCAAAATTTGTGCAACAGACTTTGCCAAAAAAACAAAAATATCTATCTCCAATTTTGAACTTTTAATTTTTTTTGAAAGGGTAAGAACTACGAATTATAACCCTTTGTGAAAAAAAATATATTCACCATTTTTAAAAAAATCTATCATTAGGGAAAAAATCGACTTTACCTACCGTTTACGACTTTTATCTTTTGAAATTTCTAGTTTCGCACTCTGTTCTTACTTGAGTTTTTATAGAACGTTTATGACCAACAAACTCGGCAATCCAAGATTGGGATTTGGTAATTTAGTTTTGAAAACAAATGCACTATTGCGAATTACACAGTGCGACGAACAAATTTGCCGCAGAACACCAATGTAATTGTTATGTAGGTGAGTGCTCTGATGACAATGGTGAAAACCATAGTTCGCCATCACCTAAGCTTTCTTCTGGGCACGTGAATTTAATTTGCGCTCTGCTGATTTATTTAATGTTGTCGCGGCGCTTATCACATTTTGTTATTTTAGGAATATTATGGACTAGTGATGCGAGTAGTGGGGAGACGGAGAGAGTCATTTGAGGTAGATAAAGGGAAGTTGCATATGCATCGGGCAATCGAATCGATCACACCAAATTTATTCTTAAAGTGTGTAAATCCGCTAACATGAATATTTTTTTTAAATTTGAATTTACTCATCATCGTATCGACATCAAGGTCATTAGCGACTAAATTTATAAATACATTTTACAATTAAAGTACGAAATTTAGAACCATATTAATTATTAAAAGTAGTTCAAAAATACAGTACAAACAAATCAATACATGGATACAAAATGATACATAGAATACATTCAATACAATACATACAAGCCAGTACATACAACACAAGTGTAACAAGTAGTTCCTCAAAATGCTTTGGTAAATATTAATTTCACGAACGATATCAATAATTCTCTTTGGTAATCTTTCGAGTTAAGAATGTTATCATGTCTTCCTTCTAGTTATTATTTTGCCTGCTGCTTTTGTATTGAGGACAGTAAAATATACGTGTTTTACATTTAGAAGAACTTAACAATGGTCACATTTAGGAGGGTTTTTCCAGTTATTTTGTGAGTATGTATTAATTCAGAATGTTCCGTTCTCCACCTTGAAATGACTACCAGATATTACGTGAGTTTTAAGGACATAGTTTTGGAGACTTTTTTGTTTCACTAGCCTTCATCGACTTCAATCTTTCGAACCGGATATTTTGCATTTGGTTAAATAAATTATTCCAACAGACCTCGAATGTGTTCGTCAATGTCTTCTGAAAATCTCTGAAAATAGGAAAGTGATAAGTGATCACTTTGACGTCGATTATCTAAGGTGCTGCCAGATTTGTCCCGCCCATTAATGCCCTCTACCGCATCAGAGTTGTAAGAGGGAAATGAGAGACTTTGATTAAAGATTGCTACTTTTTTTAACGAAAGTATCAGGAATCTCAAAATTTAAACAGAGTTTCGTAACAAGTGATAAATATCAAAACAGTTTCTTAATCAAATTTGGAATCTGCAATGCGGCCAGTCCCACATTCTGATGCTCCCCCAGATCCAAAAATACCAACGCAGTGGACACTGGAAGATGAACCAGACGATAATAGTGACAAACCGGCGTGTGATGAAGAACTTTATGATCACGAAGATCATGAAGTTCTTGTTTACACGCCATCTGCTGCATTTACAACCACAGGCATTGTCGCAGACAGAATTGAACATTCTTGTACGGTATCTTTTTTTTCAAAAAGACAATGAGCATTTTTTGGATCTCGTCTTCATTTCATTCCCATTTAGATTTCTTTGCGTCGAACCTTGGAGATGCATGCGACGAACATTGTGAGCGATTTCACCAACATATTTTCGCAATGGAAAGACGATACGAGGTAAGATGGTCGCTAAAATATTTGGCGGATTACTGCTAGACACTCCTATAAGGAGTATCACAATCCTCCCTCAAATTGAAAGTTTCCAGGAAAAGTTCCTCGTTTGCAGGTACATTTCAAGCTTTATTCTGTTTTCTCGTGCTGTTTTCATTGTATGTTTTGTCATACAAACTATTAATTATATTACTTCTAGGCTGTCCGGTACAATTAATTATACACAGAATTTAATACAAAAAATTGTTTTAAAAATAATGTTTGTTACATTATCTGTATATTAATCAAATATATATTCCTCCTGTGTTGTTACAGAGTCATTTCTAGAAAGTTCATTATGTAGCATATTGTTTTCAAATGAAAATGATACGTGATGAAACATTTATGATTTCATTTTTGCAATCAGTGTATGTGATTTCGTAAGGAATACATACTTTCACCTCGCGGCAAGACACAATGTTCAAATTTTTTGCACTGTTATTGAAGCTTTAATTAAAAAAACCTTTTCTTTGAACTATGCTCGAATACTAGAAACTTTTTCTTTTGATATTAGAATGGATTATGTGCTGTTTCAATTTTTATGAAACCGAATCACATTGCTCAAACATTTCGATAATTTTGATTGCACAAAACCTAGTGGTGCTGACACGTACGTACTTTCTTACCTTTATTAATAGTTATGTAATTTATTTATACCACAGACTCTCTCCGAATCTACTCATTTCAGTCATTATTTTTTGTAAAACTCGTTACAAATTTTAGAACATTTGGTGCGAAAACTGAATATTTTCAAGCAAATACCAACACAAATTTGACAATTATAACTGATGTTCGCGTTGCATATCATTCCCTAAAAACGAGACCTACACCTACCGCCACACGGCGCGGAATTCTATTGCTGCGGCCCCTGAAGGCTGCAGTTTCTATTTCATATATTCGAAATTGGTTTTTAAATAGTTTCTAGAGGATTAACTTGTAAACGTATAACAAAAGCTCAAATGTAAGAAACGAACAAAGAATTATACAGTTATATGGAAATTCTATCTTACGTAGCAACTGGCTCCGGAATCACGATATTATGTTCATTAAGCGCAGGAAATTCGGAGCGGGGGACTATGTTTGACACCAGATTACACAAAAAATAGTCGAATTCGAATCTGTACCTTCAATATTTTAGTTGTAGGAAGATTCCAAAGAAGATGAACTTTTGCAATTTTCGAATAATCGGTGATTTTAACGAAAACGACCGCATAAATGACCTTCACACTATTTTACAACACAATTTGTAGGCATTATTTGAAAATGTGCAAGGGGCTCCATGACCCCCCCCCCTAAAAAATCTATTTCAAATTTAGATTCAATCGATCTTGATGTGAGAAATAAATTTTGGCACTTATGATTGTGGTTGTCCATAATTTCAAATAAGGGGCTAAACAAAAAGTAAATAGAATTATATTGTGACCACCATTTTAAAACTTAATTTCAATAATAAACTATTGGTGCGTATAAAGAAGAGATTAGAAACCTTACCATTTGGAGATTAAGTGTATAACTGGGTCCATAATTTTAATGCTTATTTTAAAGACTGCTTGTGGGATGTTTTTCGTCACTCTTTCTCTTTCCTTCGTTTTGAATATTCTATATACTTCTGACCCAAAAGTATGTTTGTCTGTAAATATGGTTTCTGATACAGCTGTAATGCGAATATTATCTTTAGTTATAGAATCAGTCAGTTTCTTTAAATTACCTAATTTTCAACAATGAGTTATCTCCCCGTTTATTATTACCTTATTATTACTTTATTATCATTATTATTGGCACATAGGCCATTTCTGACCGCGCTACACGATTAACGTGTTTCTTTTTTCCGGGATAAGCTTCTCAGCTGTATCCCGCAGAAGAAGGCTGTTACGCGTTGAAATGGAATTATGAAGTGGAGGATGGCGAGGGATGAAGGGCTGTTTCCATGGCGTAGGACTAGAACCTTGAGCCTCCTCGGCGCACACGATGGCTGCCGCCACGTCTGCGCCACTGCCATATAATCAGGCAGCCCTAACCAGCAGAATGTGAACTCTGAAGGAACCGAAATGACACTAGTAATTTACATTCGAAGACAAGAAGGTCGACCTTTTCATGATGAGACTCTATTCGATAAATTAATTGATCGATCCATTAGTGATTTTGGGCGCGTCAGTTGCTGGTGCCATTAGTTGAGCCTGTAAACGTAGTGCATGTTTTCCCTAAAGAATTGATTTTCTCACGCTGTGTGGCGAGTTTTGGCTTTATTTTAACAATCAGTGCCTTGTGTGTGTTAGGAGTACTGCGATGCAGTGAAGCGAGTTGCACACTTTAGTTTTCTTGCCAGTATTTAAAAATTGCAGAAAACCCCGTAAGTATAATCAGGAGCAGTTACATCAGGTTTTGTTCGATTTCGTTAAAAAAATTATTTGAACATGATAGTTTGTGGTTCTCATGTGTCATTTAATTTTGAATTTCACAAGAGTCGTAATTTTCTTGATACACAGTGTAAACTAAACATGTTTTCTTTACTTGTAATTAATTTCATTTTTACAATATATTGATCACCTAATATTAATTTATACCTCGTTATATAATCAGCTAATTTTTTCTTGACATTGTTGTAAGTTGGAATAAAGTAATTATTCAATTACATTCATATTACTTTCATGACAAGTATTGTATCCTCTGTGTAAAGCTTATTAAAATGTAAATGATTGGAAGAGGAAAATTATTTTAAATAAAGTAATACCAAAATATATTGTTTTTGTTTTCAGATCACTGTTTTGCTGACAGCGAGCGGGTCGTGTAACGTTCTATTGGGAGAAGAGTACGGTAGGTTCAGCTTTTATTTGAAAGATAAATCCAATTTTTCAGGAAAAGTAATTGATGATGATCTCTGAAACCGTCCAATGAGAAACTGTAATTCAAAAATACATTTACTTTCATAACTACGCATTAATCCATAAGGTATTGATGTTGGGATAAAATAAGTTATTCAACTTAATATATCATTGCTGGACAAAATTTACCTTTTAGTCTGTTAAATTGAATAGAATGGGTGATTCTTACGGAATATGATGGTCTGATTTCAATTTTACATAGCATTTATTTGCAACGGACAATGATTCTTTGTAATAGACGATTAAAATGTGCATACCATTGTAAAGTGATTGGTTTTATTTATTTTGCTTACGTATATTAATCTCAATAAAAATGTTGCTTTAGCAACATCTCATTTTATTGTCCAGCAGTAGTATGCAAGCATATTTCGATTCCATTTTCCCTGATAAACGTTATCAATGTTGCAATGTCTTGGTAGAATTGCTCACAGTGCCGAGATAGTATAGAAAAACGTCCAAGCGTGAATCCAGAAAATGTATTTTAAGGAACATGTTCTTAACCTCAGTGCTTGCTATCAATTGTGAAGGCGTCCGTCTACTACTTGTTCCTAGTACTCCACTTTTCTCTTAATAAGTAATTCAGTTATCTTTTGAAGCGATGCCCATGCTGTCTTTTTGAAAATTTGCCTAGAGTAGGTCACGAACTACTCATTGGTTCTATGAGGTTGTGGAGACGTCCCTGCGAAATCTGGATCTTCAATGTCGTCCTTTTCGGTGCTTACGTGTAAATCTTCATCGCCAGACTTCGGAATGCAAACTCCAATTCTCCAGTGGCCCTGGGATCGGAATGTCGTCGCGGTGAGGAACAGGCCTGGCAGCTGAAGGAAAGGGCGATGTTGAATGGCCTTCTTGGTCTCGTTTGTGGTTCCAACCACTTTGGTGATGCAGAAAAAGTAGTACTTGCAGTGATCCTTTGGCTCTCTCCATGGCATGGGAATTGCAAATGGCATATACAATGGGCCCACAATTTACCCTGATCGACACTCGAAATACAATTCATTTGCCTTTCTTATTAGGTTACTTCATCACGCGCGCACTCTGTAACAATTCCAGAACTTGCTTCTCTGGCTGGAACTTGCTTATTTGGCTGGTCTGGCATCTATTTCATATTTTTAGTGGGATGTACTATACCATGCATAATTGGCGTCTACCGTCATCTAATAAATTCGCTAGCAACTAGCGGTTCAGTACACACGGCATGTGGATATCTGCGAAATATATAATTTTAGTAAATATACAATTACGCATAACTTGAACCCGATGGGCAAGTTTTGTGGTTGTTTTCGGTTTTAGCGTAGCAAGCTACATAACAAAACAGCTAGAGTTAGCCATTTAATAATATCACTGTCGGCTAGTGTAATTAAGTTGTATATTTTCTGTAATTATAGAACAATTGAATAGAATTGAAATAGAATACATATAAGTATTTTATTATCATGAATAGAAATAGAATTAAAGAGAAACAAACAGGATTCAAAACGTAAAGAAATCGAACTTCATACAGAAATGTTCTGGAGAGAAATGCTACTACAAACATAATATTGTACAAATTCCTATATTTTATTCCATATCTGCTTTTTGAGAAGAAAACCCAGCCCTGGCTTTGTACTTACGTAAATCTTTTACCACCTGCAGCGCCTTCAACGATCACGCCTGCGCGGCCAACGAAAACGCCCCCCCCCCGCTCGCTGCTGCGGAATCTGGATCTTCTGTGTGGGTTACATAAAACTTGCAACCAGGGTGCAAAACTTGCAACTATGGTGACGTTTAAGCTCCCGACTGGATGAAACAGCTGATACCTGCCATGGGCAGAGTTGCAAAAATCGCAGTGTAGTTACGTGTGCGGTATATTTCCGTGACAGGGCGATCTCCGCAAGTTCAGTTCTGGCGCAGGCACTTTGACAGTTGTAGCACGGAGCCCTCCCGCAGCAATTTCTGTTTCAAACCCCGTAAGTATAGTGCAACATGTTCTCTTGCGTAAAAGGTTTCATTTGAATCTCATCCCAAGAAATCTTGTCACTCACTTAAGGTTTATTGCCTAAGAGTGACTATTACTTATGTGAAGTATTGTCTTAAGTTGTGCGTGATCACAAAAGTCGTAACGCAATCATTCGACCCAAGAGGTAAGTGCAAGCATTCGTGTTCCGCTTACTTCCAGTAACTACGCTGCCGTAACCTACGATCTGTGAAGAATCTTAATGTGTGTGACTATTGTACGCGCCACTTGCATATCTACGCACGCCCTCTACGCGGGTGAACTGCGAAAGGGTACAATTGTAAATTAGTCATCAAAAGACTGTGCATTGGGTATTTTGTGCTTGTGACGGTTGAACACGGGCAGCGTGGACCCTGTGTGGAATACCATCCCCACACAATTTCTTGTTCTATCAGGGAGCATGAAGCCCGGGGTGGGCAACTAAGCTTTTCGCTTTTATTCTGCCCCTCCCCCTACCGATGCACAAGTTTCCCGACAGGCTGGTGTGTGCATCTTCAACCCTCTCTCCCAATTGGACCCCCAGCATACTGACTCCGGAACCCCTGAAGAACCAAACACACCTAACGGACCACTACCTGATCAATCATCCTCTCAACAAATGACAAATCCAAAAGAAAACAACAAAAAACGAATCGGACTCTTCAGAATTGACTTGACGACAATCCTTGACCCAACAGAATTGATTAAGGAACTAAAGACCAACTGTAACAACCACCTGACAGCCAAGTGTACTCGGACAGAACTGGTAATCCAACCAATGACTGTGACTGCCCACGGGAAGATAAGGGACCGCCTGGACCAGATCTCTAGAGACCCCAGACTAAAAGGACTATTCTTCGCCACCATATCTTACCACTTCAACCGAGATACAGACGAACAAGAAGAGACAAATTTGTAATCAAAGGACTCCCGGCCAAATGCGATTTGACTGCCATCAAAAACAACTTGACCGCCCTAATTACTTCACACCACATCACTGAGATGCATGACGAGACGCCGACGGGACATTGACACCAATAGGCCTGTACACAGTGGAGACCAACAAAAAAGAAATGACAGACATCATGAAAACACTAAAATATATTGACTACTTTAGAGTGACAATTGAAGACTACAAGATGACAGGCAGTGCAGAAATTGCCAAAGACTGTACGAAGGCCTATTGCAGGTGACAAGCAACTTGCGCCCTCTGCGCTGGTTCCCATCCAACTGAATACTCTACCTCCCTGAATACTGTTATTACTCTATTATGTTTTATATGTGCACAAGAAGTAACCCAACGAGGCGTGTGGCTGGAACGCGAACGAGAATTTCAACAATAATACACTTAACATTGCAGTAATAAACATTTACTAACTGAAATGATGATGATGATGATGATGATGATTGTGATGATTTACATGAATTACAAAAATAATAAACACGACCCTTTCTTTTAAGAACATTAGCCATCTTTGTTAAGCTCGATACAAAATAAAGCAAGTGGGTCGTCATAAATATTTTGTGCTGGAAGGCGCCGGAGAGGGGGAGGGCGGGACCCTCCCCGCTTTGCTCAGCAATGTGTCGACCGCCAATTCTGCGGGAGCTAAGCGGATTATTACCCTCGTTTTTTCTGTCGGCGGGCAATCACAGGCACGCCCGGTGGTGGAGTCGTCGGCCTGCGCTTCTGGGGCGGGTAGCTCCCTCCAGGCAGCTGCCGGAAAACACAGGGCGACTCCCAGCGTGACGCTCTGACGTTCGCCGCGCTTCCCTTCCCTTCAAACCAGCTTCACCAACCCTGTCAGCAACGGTGTTCATCGGCGAGGGTTGATTGGGAGCCAATCAAATTCCGTATCAGCAGTCGCGGCATTGTCATAAAACGCGATCAAATTGCTTTAGGCGCGGAGACTGCATCTCTTTTCGCCTGAATTTCTGACCAGAGGTGGCGCGAGGGTCAACTTCCTCCGCAGGAGCTTCGATGCTAGTGAGTCAAGTGAGCAAGCGAACTTGAATTTAATAACTTGGGTTTTCAGGTCAAATGCCTACTGAAACTCAAGTGAATTCTTCAAACCAAGGTAGCAGAAAACAAGCGACTTACTCGGGCCATGGTTAAAAAACAAGTGACTACTCGTAGGCCCGAGTCAAGAAAACAAGTGACCTACTCGTGCTGAGCTAAGAAATCGAATGGCCCTCAGACGGCGGCCTGTATCAGCAAACTTTCGGTACCCCCTCCCTCTAACAGCGTTGGATCCCCGATACGCGGGTTGAATTTCGCGGAGCAGGGTGGAGGTGTGTTTCTAACAATCGCACGAACCCTTTTCTCAACGGGCCAGAATGTCCGTTGCTGGTATAACAAAAACAATTCGGGCCTGTTGACTTTCGGATCCGCACGTGCGCCGCTGCCGTTTGGGTTCGTAAGTTTGCTCCCGAGAGGCGCAATGTAGCGTTGAGTTCATTTTACGAGCGGTCGCGTGGGTGAATAGGAGACACCCACTTGACATTTGGCGAGGACCCGGCTGCCAACAAACCCTCCTTCGGCACCGCGCGGAAGTGTCCTGCCGTAAGTCTCATACAACCCCTCGCCTTAATAGCCAAATGGGCGCGGGTACCTACGATTCCCTTTCCCAGCTGCGTCGCGGACGTCCGTTTTCCCCCCTTTTGTTCATAGAAATTTTTCAGCGCATGAGGTTGTACCGTTACAATATCGATAAACAAAATAGAAGATGGTTGTTTGTGGAATGGTTCTATCTTTTCCTACTATAGCACTTGCTAAAAAATGCCATTTTGTGTCTCCTTTAATGTTTTTTCGTCTTACAGCAGTGTTTTCATCAATATCATAGTTATTTAAAATATTACTGATAGTTTTAAATGATTGAATAAAAGAATTACACGAATCCATAATTGTACGTCATCAATTACCATTCACATAAAATCCTGGTTCGTAAACTTGCCAGGATATCTTTATCCTATTATGATTATTACAGTTGTGGTAAAAATACCACGATTCTGATGCATGTGGCAGCAC